GACTGGGTCCTGCTGTCGCACAGGAGCGGTCTTTCTTTTCCGTTCCTCGGGGTCTTTCCCAGTGGCAAAGATATTTTGGAGTCTTAATTTCTCCTTCTCCAGATCTCCTGTAGGGCCCAGAAATGGCCTAATTAAGGTGTGAAGGGTGCCCGTACTCATGGTCTGTGTTCTCAGTTGGGCATGCTTGCTGCAAGGTGCCTGGGTCATGTGGTTAGCGCTCTGCTTCTACCCTGGGTGCTCCTGAGCTTGTCATGTCAAGATAGGCAAGAAGAGGTTTAAAGAACAAAAAAGAGCGTTGTCAAAACCCACACACTGCTTGGGTGCAGAGTAAGGCTAAGAAACTCAAGGACCCGAGGCCTCAATGATGCCCTTAGTGGCAGCCTGTGTGTTGGGAATGTGGGGAGATGTTAGGATGGGCTGGGCCAAAAGTTCTGTCAGATGCCAAGTACAAAGCAGGAGCAGCGGCTCTGTGAAGCGGGCTGGGGTGCAGAGGAGTTTGATTCCAGGGACTATGTGAGCTCAAGAGAACAGAGGCTGTGAGACCTGACAGCCAAATGTTCATCAGGTATATTGGTAGAGTCTAGTTAATAGTCAAAGAGAGTTCTGGAAAAATAAAAAAACAGGACCACCTAACTAGTCCTGAAAACCTTGCAAGCTAACATGTGCCAAGGCTCAAGAGCATTAGTATGAAAAGCATGAGAATTTGATTAGCTACCAGCTCACTTGCCCAGTGGGCTGCTGGTCCCAACCACCCAGGGAAGTCTGTCTGAGCCTTCTCACTTACGGGTGGCTTGAGGTTTGAACTGCTCCCGGCTGTAGGCCCCATTGGCTTGGCATAAGCTGGCAGGCCGGAGGTGGGACCGAGCCGCCAGGATAGGAGGTAGGTAGATGGGTGAGGCTGGCTGCTTGGAAGGTGAGACCCTCTGGCTGGATGTTGGGCTGCACTGTAGGGGCAAAGTGTCTCCTCCTGGAGAGGAAGAGTCAGGGTGGGGGAGACCCATCTGACTTTTTTTTTTTTT